GGAAGAGCTTGGGATTTTTGAGTTGTCCAAGTCATCATTGGCAGTGTCAAAAATTCTGCAATAAGATATATATTAGAACTGACAAGTTCACCTATATTCTAACAAAAAACATCTGAGTTATATTCCGACTTGCCAGTAATCCCACACAAAATGCACAGCTTAAAGGATCCAGGAATTCAATAGGGCTAAAAAGGACAACGAATTTATTCTCATATTTTCTACACTTCGTAGAGGGCCTATGACATGAGACTATCCGAATAAGCCAGGAGAAAACATCGCATCACACAAACCATAAACCAAATGTACCCAAATTTTTAATCCATAGAAATCCAAAAGGGCTTTCAGGGAGTGGGAGCTATCAGGGAGCGGGAGCTGTGTTGGATTCTTCAATGTGAAGGAAATGTAGCCTTATTGCCTCATGGTCATATAAGTATTTTAATTCTCAATTTCATTTTTGTGTTCACAACAGCATTGATACAGCTATTTTATTATGGAGCATAGCACAGTGAGAAGATCAGAGAAAAGGTGCATTAAGAAATGCTTCCCGTTTAGAAACTTTAAGCATAAAGTTCATACAAGAAGGCAGACTAATTATTTATCAAGAAAATGGCATGCCACTAGCCGTACCATTTAATTAGTTATTTTCAGGATAATTTTGTAAGCAGGCTTTGACATTTGTTTTTGCTATCAGAAAAAAAAAAAAAAAAAAAAAAAAAAAAAAAAAAAAAAGTAAGCAGGCTTTGACATTTGTTTTTGCTATCAGAAAAAAAAAAAAAAAAAACAAAGAATCACAAGGAAAAGAAAACATGTTCTCACATACGATTTTTCTCTTTGTTACTAATCAAGAAGCTTTAATAAGTAGGATTTGGGATAAAAGTTGGAATGGGCTAAAGTAACTCGCTCGCTCAAGAAGCTCAAAACTAAGAATGCCTGGCGAAGAAACCAGCAAACTTCCAGTTTTTTCTTTTCTTTCAAAAAAATATTATGTTGATCACTAGCATAAAATGTGTACTAATTTGGTCAACTACAGGCTTTAGTTTCTATAAAGCAACAATCAAAGAATTCTTAAAACCAAACTTTAAAAATCATCAGAAGCGAAATTTCTTAAAATATTTAGCAAACTTTTATTGCTGTATGTGTAATGTATGGTGCTTGGTATTGTTAAGAAGGTTCCTTTATAAAGGTCAATTTGATTATTAACTAAACCACCAGCCTCACCAATTTCTCTTGGAGTGAGATTTATCTATCATTTCTAAGAGACAATTACACAAGTGTATTGATCTGGTGATCGTGACGGTCATTTGGTAGTTTAGCCTCACAAACCAATTCAGTTTTAGATCAGAAATAATTAAATTATACAACTAATAGTAAATAGCACTGGATGCAAGGAAGAAAGGGACATACTCAGAGCAGCTATCAAGCAATCTGTCGATGTCATCAGGAGAAGAATCTCCCAATGTAGCATTCATAGCCTCCTCCTGCTGCTTCTCAATTTCCTTGGTCCATAATCCAGCATGAATTCTTTGCTTCTTCAATCTGTAATCTTTTTTCATATTGTCCAAATTATAAAGCGAATCACCTCCATTTTTATTATTATCATTCTTTGGCTGTGGTTGTGGATGGGTTTTCCGCCGCTCATCCCAGTTATCATTCATTTCCTCAACAAAAGCCTTGGTCTCAGCGTCCTCTATCCCTGTGGGTGAAGAGAAATTGACGTCCATTTCCCATGGAGCTCTGTTCTTAGCTGTTAGATCCTCTGGTAGCCACGCTGTTTCCCATGCATCATTCCATTCATCCTCCCCTTTTTTGGTAGAAAATGATTGAAAAAATTGGCTCGCTCCATTTATTCTGCATCTTTCTTTAATTCTACTACAACTTGCTGCTGCTATCTGTCGAACAGAAAGCATTATTTGTTCTGTTCACTTGACTGCAAGAATTTAGCAGATAATAGAATTTAGTATTTATTGGATCTATGACCCGCACACCGCTGCAGGTCAACTTGCTAAGCTGTTTTGAATGACAACAACTTTTTTCGAAACAAGATGTCAAGGTTTAAAAAAAGGTGATTTTTTTTTTTCAAATGATTTTGAAGTAAGGAAAGCAATGATCAAACTAAAAAGAAAATAGAAGCAAGGTGTATGAATCAAATTACACAAACAACATGTAAGGATATCAGTTTTTTATTTCGCATGTCTAGCTAGCAGCCTGTATACAATGCCATAAGCCTCATTCAAAAGTCCCAATGTACTCATACACAGATAAGCATCCTTTTTTCCTCCTATTTTCTTCCTCAATAACCATAATAAACCCATTACCGCAAAATCTAAACCCTCAAATCAAACCAATAAAGCATATTAAAAATCTTCCGATATTAAGACCTCTGTCCACCACCACAAAAAAAAAAAAAAAAAAAACAGAAATGAAAAGATCCAAATTCCAACAAAACCCAGTAATAAAGACTCACTCATCCTTGAAAAGTTCAAACAGAGGAAACTAAAGGTTCTTCGAAAACCACCACCCAACAAACATTAATAAGTCCTACCAGTGTTCAGACAGTGAATAAGAATGAGTGCAGGTTGGAGAAGATGATCAAAGAGGTCCATAACAGCCATAGCCAATACCATAATCACATCTCAAAAACAATCAAAAGTCTCTTACTCAATAAAAAAATTCAACTTTCACCTATGTGAACTAGCAACTAAGCTACATGACAACAGAATTGAAATAAAACTTTTTTACAACAAATGATTCAATAACAAAATAAATCAAAACTCCAACTTCAAAAATCACCAAACTTTGTATGACATAATTAATCATATCACCGCACCAATCAAAGAGATTAACAAACAAGAAAATAAACAGGCCCCATATAGAAAAAAAAATGAGTTGGAGAGCAGTGAAGTGTAAAAAAGTGAAGATTAATGGGTTTTAAGGATTAATTTAAGTTAAAAAAAAAGGACCACACCAAGTTTGGAAGATAAAAGAAAGAGTGAATTTTAGGCCAGACAAAAATAAAATATTTTTTCTAAAAAAAAAAGAGCTACGAACATCTCTAACTCAAGAAATGAAAAGAAGAGAACAAGTGAGAGGAATACCTGAGTACACGAAAAAATCTCAACCTGGCGACGACGACTCGGTGACTCAGAGAAATTCAGGTCCAGCTCTGGTAAGCTTGTAAGCAGACGTTTCGAAACCACAGTACAAAGACAAAAGCAAAGATAGACAGCAGATGAGCTGAGAACAACATGAGAAAAGCCCAAAAGCTCTGTTTGGACTCGAGGCTGGAACATTTGAGTGGAAACCTCAAAATTAGCCCCTAATGTATTATCTAATGTTAAATTAAGTTACAAGACAGAATAGTTTCTTACTTAGGTCTTAAATGACAAAAAGATTATGAGAAATGATTGAAACATTTTGGACTTAATTAATAAAATATATTGAATTGATGAATTAATTAAGATTTGGTATATAGATTAGGGACTAAAATCCATATAGAGTTACAATAGGGAGGCTAAATCGAGGTTTCGCCGAAAGAAGAAAGTATTGGAGTGCAATATAAATTTTTTTTTTTTGAATATATATTAAAAAATTTATTATTTTTTAAAACTTATTTTTGTTAATGATTACTAGCAAAAATAAATTTTAAAAAATAATAAAAATTTTACTTGAAGTGCAATTATATTATTTTTTACTTGGAATTAAATGAAAATTATTATTATTTTTTAAAATTTACTTTTGTTAGTTTCCTTTCTCTTCTGCTTTTTCAATGATGTGAATCAACAAAACACTCTATATAACTAATCATATAGTGGAAGATGTTTGGAACCATTAGTAGTATTGCAGAATACTTGATGTGGATGATGTAACGACATCTTCTTTGGGCATGAATCCAAGTTTAGGAGATTTTATCCTTTGTATTTGTGTTTTACAAGCATAATCTTTGCTTGCAAAATCACCAGAGACAGATAGTGAATTGAACAGTTTTAGTAAAATGAGTTCAAGTATTAGCTTACTGCCTGTTTTTGTTTAATGCTCCTACACAGTATCTTGGGAAGACACTCTTATCCCCATGGTGTTCAGCTTGCACATCCTACACTACAGAAAATACTGGCTCTACCTCCTCTAGTCCAGCCCAATGTTTGCCTGCTGCATAATTCCTAAGAGTGAATTCTCATACTGCTGATTGCATTCATCTCAACCGTTTTCTTTTTTGCTGAGTGATTTTAGATTCAGTGAATTTTGTGCCTTAGATTAAGAAGCAAAGGTGTATAAAGTTGGATTCAGCTTCATAATGACAATAATGACAATAATGGTCATAAGTAATCATACAAACTCGACAAGATAAAAAACAAGAAATAAGATAAAATAAAAAATAAAACACAAGAATTTACATGATTCATGTAATTGGACTACGTCCATAGACAAATATAAAAAGATTTTATTAAGTAATATGAGAATTACAACTTTTTTCAAATAATAAAAAAAAACAACTAACAAATCTCTCTATTACTAGGAGAAAACACCTCATAATTTTATAGGATTATTCTCTTTTCATTCTTCTTTTTATCTCTCGATTTTGGTATATATAATAAACATAGAGACATTGTTTATTTATAAACAAAAATGAAGGGATAAAGATTACAAATCATAACACTAATTATATCACAAATTATACCAACAACTCATCTTTACTTATACTCTATCAATTATCCTAATAATTCCACCAATTATATCAACAACACATTTTTTATTATACTAACAACTCCACTCAATTTTGTCATTCACAATAAGGATGTAAGAACTCAATATACATGTTGGAATAGAATCATTAAACAGCCAAACATCTCTGCTCTGATTTGCTTGTCTACAAAATTTGATGGTGTTGATTTTGCAGACTAAAAATTCAGTGCTTTCACTTGAAAAGAGTGCAGGAATAGCCAGTGCAGAGACCAGTATTGTTGCTGCTGTAGGGGAAGAGAGCAACAGGTCTATTTGGTGGCAACTCCGGAATCGGCCCATCCAGGTTCAGAAACTCCACCGCCTCCTCCATGCATGGCCTGCCCTTGTTCTCATTTAGTGTACAAAGCAGTCCAATCTCCGAAACTCTAATTGCTTGTTCCAAGTTCACCATGGAGCCCATCCTCCTGTCCACCAATCTTGCCTTCTCATCAATCTCATGCATTCTCCATGCGAAATCCAACAAATCCCTCTCTTCTTGTCTCAACTCAGACTCCAACCTTCCTCTCCCAGAAACAACTTCCAACACAAAAATGCCGAATTCAAACACATCAGCCTTTTGACTCACGGTTGCTTCGAAACGTTGCGACTCGGTGGAAGAGAGCACGAAGCCAAAGTCGCCCAGAACTGCTCTGAAGCTAACATCAAGAAAGACACTGGTAGTTTTCATATTCTTGTGAGCTAGCTGCTTTGAGTGGAGGAAACTGAGTGCATCTGCAACATCTTTAACTACTTTCAACCGCCGAGTCCATGGAAGCACGCCAGCCCCAAATAGCCATTTGTCGAGGCTTCCATTTGGATAGAAGTCATACACAACCATGGTTTCACGATTATCCTGACACCATCCTCTGATAGGAACCAAGTTGGGGTGTCGAACTCGGCTAATGGTACTGATTTCTTTGAGCAATCTTCGTCTATCCAATCCAATTTGTGAACTCAAAAATTGAGCAGAGAAACGTTTAATGGCCACTTGACAACCATTTGGAAGCTTCCCTCTATAGTAAATACCTTTGGAATCGTTGCCTAGTATTTCATTCTCGTGAAAACCCCGAGTGGCAGAGGAAACTTCAGAGATGGTGAAGCGACGGGGTTTGTTGGGAGGCCTTGGTCGTTGCCTTTTATCTGGCAATATCACAGCCTTAGTTTGATTATTTCTGCGCCTGCCGTTGTAGAAAAGACTGGCAAACACAGCTATAGCCAGTGCCATAACACAAATGAAAATCAACAAACTGTTTGGGGGTTCTTTCTTTGAGCTATGTGACGCTGAACTTTGAATACCTTGATCATATTGCTCCATTATCTTACTCTCACATGTCTCTGCAGATGGGGCACGGAGAGAGGCTTGGCTTGTAGAAGTGAAGTTCCACGAGTATACGTTGTGAATTTGGGTCATATTGCCAGTTGAAGCTGAGAATCCAACAAACATGTATTCATTGAGAAAAGGGGAGAGATCAAGAGAACCAGAGAAGATGGGCTTCGATCCAAGGCTAACTTCCATCCAGCTTCGTGAACCATTATATACTATCTTAGCTTGGTGAGTCAAACCATCCTTGAGGTAGACACCGACATCTGAAGCATTTACAGTCGTCGTGGAAATGATGCTGCCAAGATTGATTCCCACATGATTGTCATTTGGATCACCAAATTCGGGATTATGACGGGTATCAAACTCAACAGCAACAGCTTTATAATTGTCCTCACAGGCATCATTGAGCATGGCCAGCCATGGTCCCGGCCTACCCACAGTGAACTCGTCAGGCACCACAATAAAGGCAAGGCCACTGCCTCCACTGTTATTGTAACCACCTGTAGAGTCGACATGAGATTCAGCACTAGAGTTGCTAAATTGGAAAGAGAAGGTGGTCTCGAAGGAAGCTGGAGTACCAGTGAGCGGATCAAGCATACGGATAGGATAAGCATAGATGGCTCGTCCTGCTTGATGTCTCAGATCTAACTGGGATTTGTCAGGAATTTGGATAGCTCCCTTTTCATCTGAAAACCTGGCACTACCTAAAAGCTTAACCTCATGTACAATTTTGGGATCATCTAGCCTAAAATCTGAGAAGAAAAGATGTTTGGTTACTGTAACTGCAGGTCCAGTTGTCTGCTTCTTCCCGTCGGCTAAAATTGGATATGCTAGAAACACTACAATAGTTGCTGAGAATAACAACGAGAAGCAGCAGTAAGAACCCATTAAAGCGGACAAAGAAGAACAAGAGCTGAACTGCAGAAGAAAAGTTCCTTACTGCTAAGGTAAATGTTGGAAGAGTTCGCTAAATAGACGACTCTGTTCCACCACCTATCCTGTATACTGAACTTGATAGTGTGTTATTTGTCCACTAGTGAACAAAATCATCCACTTGTCCTGGTTTGAAGATACTAAAAAGGGATATCCTCATCATGGTATAATAGCTTACAGTGACTTGTAACATCGTGTGTTTTAGCTTCATTCATTCACGGGGTATAGTTATGGTTGTTTGAGGTGAATAATGATTTCTGAGTCATATTCTAGGGTCCCTCCTTGTCTTCCATTTTGGCTTCCCAGTTGTATAATCGAAGAAGGCCACCCTATATTCCGCCGCCCAAATGAATGAGAAGGGCCATCAATCAAGATTTCATCTTATGACAGGTAGTATGCTAATATACCTTTCCATATTGTTCTAAAATCTAAATTATTGCACTCAGTTGATTGGTAGGCGGAAGGTAGATGTCATCTTCTTTGAAGGATAAATTACAAGTTGATGATGTAGTAAAAAAAACTTCAAACAAAAATTAGGACTTTCATGGTTGAGACCGATCCGAAAAATTAAGATGCCTCGTGAACATAGAACTTTTTCAATGCTTAACCTGGTAAGTGTACAGAGAAAAACAAAAATATAAAGGAAAAGAAAAGGAAAAATGAGGGCTAGGAAGTGTGTATTTGGCCTGGTTTTCATGGCCTTTGACTGGATTTTATGGCCTTTGGCTGGCTTTGGCTTCATAGTTTTTGGCGGGCTTTTCATGCTGCAAATTGCTCTCTACTGTATTTATGGCGATGTTATGATTGACTTAAGTTATCTCTTACATGGGTTACTGGGTGTATTTATATATCTAAACCTTAGGATTTCTTCAGGAAAAGGAGATTATATCATTGATGGAAAAATTGATTTTAGCTGGGCTTGGTAGCTCTTGGTTGGTACTTCATGTCATGGTTGGTGTGCATGAAAAATATTGATGTTAAGGTAGAGAAAGGTAATTGCCCTGCATATAAAAAACCAATATGGGAAGTTTGTAAGAACAGCTCAATGAAAAATATGTTTTTATTTAAAAATCTATTAAAATAATTTTATTTATTTTTTAAATTTTATTTTTAATATTAATATATCAAAATGATTTAAAAATACTAAAAAAACCCATATCATTCTTGCCTTGCTTGGTTGCTCTAATCATATTAGAAACCGCTAATAAAGAGCTACTTCTCTAGTTCAAAAGCAGAGATTCCTGCATGATCAGGAGGTTAAATGCATGATCAGGAGGTGTATCAGTGGAGTTTCTTGCCATCTTCTTGAAAG